AAGGCCAGGAGTTAGGGGGGGGGCACCTTAAAAATCTGACAGGTATAGGTATAGGAGAGACAGTATAAAAAGATTCAATTTAGAAAAGACAACTATGAAGGCATCAGGATATGAAGTTAATAACCTCTTTCTCTAGCCTTGCTGTTACAAAGCACTAAAGCATGCTACTATTCTGAAGTATGCTCCTGCTTAAAGTAAAATATTATGTGTAAACACCTTGCCAATGTGACGATCCCATACCTAGATTAATTAAATGGTTTCCCAAATATCTTATTACTAGAATGATACAGACAAATCAAATAGTGTTCAAGAAACAGCTAAAATAGAAAGAGAGGAGCGAAAGGACTGGTTTGTTATAAACAAGCTACTGTACAGCTTGGCTAAGAGAGGACTAAGAGAACACACAACAGGTTATATGTGTTATGGTATAAAATCTGCAAAAATGCCTTCGATTTACGAGCCTAATTCCATTGTCAAGTGCCAAGTAGGCACTTAGGGTCTAAGAGCCAGATTTTTAAAAGGTGTTCAGGCACATAACTCCCACTGAAATCAATATCTTAAAAACCTGGACCTATATGCTGGTATCCTTCTAGAAAACAGGGCTTTACGGATGCCTTCTTTTTCCTTCCATCTTTCATTTCTATTACTCTAACCAATTTAAATGCAAGGAGGCAGTTATTTTTTGGAAAAAAAAAAGATTAAGATCTAAAATGCTACAAAACCTTTAGAAAATATTTACGCCGCCACCAACGGCATCTCCTAAATAAAGGTCATTAAAAGAAAGCAAAGCAGAGAATAAACAGAGCATACTCAATAGAAGGAGTAAAATGTATGTTTTAAACAGAAAATGTAAGGCTATTATTTAAGAATAGAAAATCTGCTGGGCCAGGTCTTCTGCAAGCGCATGAGCTTCATACAGAAATATATTCAGCATTTTGAAGATTTTTTTTTAACATCATTACAGGGAGGGAAGATTATTTACCAGATTTATACTCCAGTGCTTTGCTAGCAATATTTCAAAACAGCCCTAACCTTACTGTGTGATGGGAATATGGAAATAAACTGCATATAATTTATAGTTCAAAGTATTTCTTCACAGTTGTGGAGGCTTACAGCACTTTATTTTCAAAATAAAAGCTTAGGTAGCAAACTGTTCATCTGATGTCCAAAATATTCATCCACAAGCCAGCTGATGGATTCACTAATACTATGTTGAATAAGGAGAAAGCACATTTTAAAAAAGGCTGTGCCATATCAACTAGGTAGCCATAACCACAAGGTGACACCTACAAGGACAAATTTCTTAAGTTGACCTGCAGT